AAAAAAAAAAAAAAAAAAAAAATAGTGATCATTTACTGAAGGCAGATCACAAGATCAGCACTAGGGGACACCTGTCTCTAATCCTTACGCAAGGGTAAGTACAATGCCTTAATTTACAGAAGAAGAAAAAGGCACATAGAAATTCACCCAAGGATGAAGCTAGGATTCAAATTCATGTATTTGCTACATCCATTATGCCACTCTATCTGCTTCACAATTTTAAAAAAGGTTTTCATAATGAATTTGACATTTCTCACTTAACTCAAATAGGAATAATCTACAAATTGTATCAACAATTCAAATACAGGTGGTCCCTGAGTTACAAAAATTCAACTAAAGAACAACAACTCGCACTTACTAACAGAGGCTATTATAGGTAATAGGTAAATGTATCTGTTCTAGTTTATGTACAAATTCAACTTAAGAACAAACCTGCAGAGCCAGTATCATTTGTAATCTGGGGACTGCCTGTATGAGCACTCTAGTAGTTACCCATGCTATAACCAATTATACTTAATTTTTATTTCCCTCACTGTTATGTGCTGCTTGCTTTATATACAAATATGAAGATAAGTTTATAACATAAACACAAATTCCTGGCAGAAATGTCAGAGATTGAACACAACTTAATTCAACAATACAAACTTATGATACAGGATTACATGTATCAAAATAATGGTCTGAAAAGAATACTTTACCCTCTAACGGTGCTGATACAGAAGAGTCCCTCATTGATATTCCTTGCTTTATATTTCCTTCCACTGATTCATAGCTTCTTTTTAAACTGATTTCATGAGCTGTTCTGGGACTTCTAGTCCCTTCTCGGGCATTCTTAATATCTGCAGAACATAGAAACAGGAATTGCTCAGAAAGAGCACAAGGCCTACAATGTATAGTAGGTAAGTTGTCTTAATTTCATAGTCTATACTAGAAATAATACAAAAACTTGTTTTAACATGTGTCTTTTACATAATCTATGTAAATGACATTCATGAAAAGGTTTTTATTCATTCAAATATATTTACTGAATACCTACTGTGTGCCAGGCATAAGTTAGGCTTACAAAGAAGGTTAACAAATGAAGCCTCTTCCCTCATAGAACTTACCCAATAGTGGTAGGTACATATACATTAATAGGTCCTTACTATCCAGTGTGGTAAGTACCACGAACAGAGAATTATGATGTGCCATGAAAATGCTGAGAGAAACATAAAACCTCAGGTTCAGATCAGGCTGCTTAAAAGAAGTGATGTGTATAAGAATGAAAGATGAGTAACAGTTCCTTAAATCGAAGGTAAAGGGAGAAAAAGCAGTACAGGCAGAGGAAACAGCCAGCACAAAGACCCAACACAAGACAAAGTACAGTATATTAAAAGAACCTATGCTCGGTAAATGGCTAACGTGTACAGTGGACCTGGGAGGAACAGTGTTAAGGGAAGTAAACATAAGGGGGTAGGGGGAAAAGTGGGTGGAGAAAACTCTGAAGAAATAAGCTGGAAGCAGCTCATGAAAGGGTGACGAAGCCAAGGCAGGGGTTGTAGATAACTTAAAGGCAATGGAGAGTCAAACAGTGAGTGACATGGCATAAAGCTTTGAACATGGACAAGCCTAAAGGTGGGAAGGTCAGTTAGGTGGCTGCTGGGTTAGCCAAATGAAAGAAAGATGATGGGGCTCGGCGCCTGTGGCTCTAGCAGCTAAGGTGCCAGCCACGTACACCT